AATAGGAAAGAAAGGCACCATCTTTCATCACTTGTGGAAATGACTCTGCATTTTATTTTTCTAATGATTTATTTATTTATGCATACAAGAACTGGTGTGTAAGCCAGAGGTGCAAGGGGTGAGAGGATTCACCAGAGAGAGTGGAGAGCAGAACAGGCAGATCTACTGAAATACACTGCTGAGGGGAGCAGTGGACGAGGCAGGAGAGGTCTGCTGCACCATGTGTGTTGCTCCCTGGCTGGGATCGAATTCATGTTTCAGTGGCTGGCGATAGCTTAATAGCGCTGTCTCTAACCCCTGAGCCACCAGGGAAGCCGTGACTGTGCATTTTAAAAGAGCCACTTCTCTCTAGCTTTCTTTCACCTAGGTTTAAACTAAAATGTCTACAACTGTTATCTTAAGCCACTCCCACCATCACATATTGGGGCTGTTGGGAGGAGATAATTTAGCTCTTTAGTTTCACAAGTCCACAGATGGGGGGATTAATTGATTATATCCAGAAGCCTCATCTTCACCTGAATTAGGATAAATTTTGGACTTTGAGCTAATATGCTAATGAAATTTAATTTAGAGGTTTAGTTATAAGATTTTGAACTTTAAACAGATGTTCTATTGGGGTAAGACTTTTGTAGCTCTTGGGAATGGGTGTTGTATTTAACATGTGGATTATTAGTAGCTAGAGAGTGGACTGTGGTAGGCATAGTTCTGAGCCCTGATGTACATGCCAGGAATAACTACATCTGTGAATATGGCAGATTTCACTTCCAATGTTAAGGTTACTAATTGAATGATTCTCAGTTGATGAAAAATGAGATTATGATTTAAAGGGCCCTCTTTTTTTTTTTTAAAGATTTATTTATTTATTTATACAGGCATTGGGTACAGCCGGGAGAGTGAGAGAATTCACCAGAGCCAGAGCAGGGAGCAGAACAGGCAGATGGGCGAAGTACACTGCTGAGGGGAGTAGTGGGTGGCAGGAGAGATCTGTCGTGCCATGTGGGACCCTCGCCCGGCGGCCGGGGATCGAACAGGTGCTGCAGAGTGTGCAGGCAGCTTCGCAACCCAGTGCTCAACCGCTGTGCCACCGAGGAGACCCTAAAGGGCCCTCTTAAAACTAATCACAAACATTCAAGAGAAAGTAAGATATAAGTTTTCCTGCTGACTTTGAAGAGGTAAGTTACTATGTTGTCAAAGGACTACATGGTTAGGACTTGAGGATGTTCTCTAGAAGCTGAGTGTGATCCAGTCATCAAGAAAGCAGGAACCTCAGTCCTAGGACCACAAATATAATCATGTCAAATATAATCATGTCAAGCAAGATAAATTTGGAAATGAGAACATCCTCAAACTTATCTTGGCTAAAAACCCTATTATGTTATATGCCGCTATAAAAAAAAAGAGTTGAATATTGAATTTTAATGATATTAATGCTTAATGAGTGCTGTTTACCTTAAGACACATATATACTTCATCGAAAGTATTAGTGTATATTAGTTTAATAAAATTTTGGTAGGGATGCAACTAAATTTCCATTGTATATTCCACTATAGACCACGTGACAGAAACCTCTTTTCCAACACTTTACTCCCAGTCTCCACTTGGGGCATTGGGTCTTTCCTACCCTTTCCTCTCTCCAAAGAAAGCAAAATAAATTTCATGCTAAGCAGCTTGATGTGCTTCCCTGAATTCTAAGAACAAGCTGGTACACATCTAGGATCATTGACCTTAAATATTTGTCAAAATATTTGGACAAGCCAAGAGGGATATCTCTTTTAATGAGGCAACTGGTGAATAAAATTTGCTCCATCATTTTACATATGTAGTATTTTTGTATACACCTGAAAAGTTCCTAGAAAGCCATCAGAGACATAATAGTACCTTTTTGTGGTGAGCAACATTAAGGTTGGTCAGGCTATCAACTTTCATTTTATACTTTATTATGTCAAGATGTTTTAAGTCATTGTATTAGTTTTCTTAAGATGGCTGTTAACAAGGTAGCGCAGACTAGATGTCTTAGAGCAGAAGTTTATTATCTCATGTTCTGGAGGCTAGAAGTCTGGAATTCAAGATATCAGCAGGGGTTATTATGTTCTGTTCTAAGGTTCTAGGAAAGAATCTTTGTTTCTTACAGCTTAGAGTAGCTCCAGGTGTTTCTTGATTTTTTTTTAAAAGCATAATTCCAACCTCTGTCTCTGTTTTCATATGGCCAGTTTTCTGAATGTCTGTCAGTGTCTCTTCCCTTTTTGTAAGGACAGAAGAATTGAATGAAGGGCCAGCCTAACAGCCTTAACTTGATCATATCTATAAAGACCTGATTTCCAAATAAAGTCATCTTTACAGGAGGAGGGACATGGTCAACCTATTATAGCCATGGATTACTGTTAAAAAGAAACTATTCCACATACGCTACAAGTTGTTTACACGACAACTTGCTTGATCTCTTAAATACATGAATTCTGATGTCATAATGCAATGCAGTTTCAATTAAAAATGTAAAACATGGATGTCCTGAAAAATTGGGAGGATTGTTGAATTATTAGGAGATTTAAGAAATATAATCAAGGGCCTCCCCGGTGGCGCAGTGGTTGAGCGCTGGGTTGCAAAGCTGCCGGCGACCTCTGCGGCGCCGGTTCGATCCCCGGCTGCTCCCCGGCCACAGGAGGAGGGTCCCACATGGCGCGCAGACCTCTCCTGCCGCCCGCTGCTCCCCTCAGCAGTGTACTTCGGTCCTTCTGCCTGCTCTGCTCCCCGCTCTGGCTCTGGTGAATTCTCTCACCCTCCCGCGCTTCTGACTGTACCCAGTGCATGTATAAACAAAAACGAACGAACAAACAAACAAATAAATAAATTAAAAAAAAAAAAAAAAAAAAGAAATATAATCAAAATGCAATGTTTGAAACCTGATTGGATCCTGGTTTGGGGGGAAAAAAAACCCAAAACCCAAAAATTTGTTTTTGACAATTGGTGAAATTTAAATATGAATTGGATATTAGATGATACTAGAGAGTTATTGCTAACTTTTTTAGTTGTGATAATGGCATTGGAATTGTGTCTAGAGACGGTGCTAGTCGTAGGAGATGTGTACTTAAGCATCTAGAAGTAAAGTGTCATAATGTCTGTCTCCTTTCACATGCTTCAAGGGGAAAAAAAGATACACCCAAATATAGATAAAGCAAACATAGCTAATTTTTAAACTAAGTGATCATGTCAGGCCCAATGATTAAAACCTTTCACTATCATATTCAGCTACTGTAATTAAATTTAGACGTTGAGGGGCCTCCCTGGTGGTGCAAGGGGTTAAGATGCAACCTATGAAGCAAATCCATAGCCATTGCAGCATGAGTTCGATCCCTGGCCAGGGAGGTTACCCACATGGCGCAGCTGACCTCTCCTGTCCTGCCCGCTGCTCCCCTCAGCAGTGTATTTCAGTGGATCTGCCTGTTCTGTTCCCCACTCTGTCTCTGGTGGATCCTCCCACCCACCCCCCACACCTCTGGCTTGTACCCCAGTTCTTGTATGCATAAATAAATAAATCTTTAAAAAAAGTTAGACTTTGAAAAGAAAATTTTAGCATGTTTTTCATATATCTTAAGTTAATGAAAAACTATATGGGTCTTCTTTTAATTCTTTTCTGGATGTTTGAACGTTTTCATAATAAATTTTTCTTGGGGAAAAAGCACATATTTTCTGACAGCTCCCAATTATTTAGGATAAAACACAAACTCTTATGCCTAACTGCTGAGTTCTGAATCCTCAGCTCCCCTGCTTATTCCCGCCCCACATCTTGCACATTATATTCTGATAACACCACGTCAACCTATGGCTTTAACTACCTTCCTTCTCTCTTGCCGGAAACGTCTCAGGGGTACAGCGAGATCGCATCGCCCCTGCAGCTCCCACCCGGGCAACTTCTTTCAGCCTTCAAATCGCAGAAGTCAACTCCTCTCGACAGACTCCTTCCCACACCCTTCTGAAAGCGCTCCTTTTCTTGGGCCGCCACTGACCGCTGCACCGACAGGAGCTCACCTGCGCGGGGAACACGTTCATGGAATTCTGAGACTGGCACCTGTTAAACGCCTGCTAAAAGGAAATAACTCCATTCAGGCCGGGCAGAACCCTCAGATTATACATGTTCTCCAAAAGACTTAATTTCCACGCATGATTTTTTGGAAACGCATAGTGGCAAAATTCAGATGATCAGTTTGTTTTTTTTTTAAAAGATTTATTTGCTTATGCACACAACTGAGGTCAGGCCAGAATGTTTGTGTGTGTGTGTGTGGGGAGGGTGATGGTGGTGGGGGGGGGTGAGTTGGGGGGGTGGGTTGGGGGGGTTGTTAAAAGGCGTCACCAGAGACAGAACGGTGAGCAGGACAGGTGAACTGACTGAAATGCACTGCAGAGGGGAACAGCAGGTGCGACAGGAGAGGTCTGCCGCGCCGCGTGGGTAGCTCCTGGCCGGGGCCGGGGCTCGAACTCATGCCGCAGAGGCTGCGGGCAGTTTCATAACGAGGTGCTTAATCCCTTGCGCCACCAGGTAGGCGCGGAATAATCACTTTCGTTTACTTGTAGGTTAGGGGCCTCTGCGGATTCACTAGATTCAAGTTTGAGCAACTAGCGCTCGACGCCCTACGGCGCCCCGTCCCAGGCGGCCCCCTCCCGCCGGCGGGGGGAGCGCGGGCGACGACGCTGGGGACAGCGCGCGCCTGCGGCCTTCTGAGAAGCTTCCCCAAGGTGGCGGCCGCCGCCTGGCCTGCCGCGGGGTCACCACGGGGGCAAACAGCACAGCGTGTGCGACGTGAGCGCAGCGCCGGGGACGGGCCGACACGCCGCGCGGGCACCCAGCGCGGGCCGCGCGCCTCCTCACGACGCCCCGCCCACTGCTCCCACTTGGGCCAATAGGCGGCGCCGCGGCCCAGACTGTGGCCGGAGGAGGCGGTATCGGGGCGGCCGGACGCCGCACGGCCGTTCACGTCAACGCGGTGACGTCACGCGCCGACGCTGGGGACGTACCTGTCGGACTCCCGGCTCCCGCTGCTTCTCTTCCCCGGTCCGTGGGTCGGGGCTGGTCTGGTCCGGAAGCCGGAGCCGGTTCCCCGTAGTCCCGACTCCCCCGCGGCCCGGACTCGGGCTGCGTGACGGGCCGGAGGGTGTGGCGGGTGGAAAGTCGTTCTCCCTCCCCCCCGCCTGGGCGCAGGGCTTCAGGTGCAGCCTCCCAACGGGGAAGTGAGGCTGGAGATTTTTGTTTTTAATTTTGGCCAGAAGCAGGTTGACCCCAGGGCCCTCGGGGGTTGGGAGGCGGACCCCAAAAGTCACCTGGCAGGATTTCCGTAGTCTCTTCCGTAGAAAACACCAGGTATCTTGGCAGTCGCGGTAGTTTTCCTTGGGTGTGCAGCTTGCTTCAGGTGGAGCTCCCAGGTAGCTATTTAGGTTTGAAACAGATGCAGAATCCAAAGGCAGCGCAAAAAACAGCCACCGATTTTGCTATGCCTCTGAGCTGCAAGGTGAGTTGCTGTCATGTTCACGGATTTGGGGTCAGCTGTGATGTCAGGACTCTTCGTCTTGGTTTGTCTAGAGCAGAGGTACCTACATGATGTTAAATCCACCCTTGGCAGGTGTATTCCCTCGGACAGGCTTTGAGAGTTCACCTATTTCTGCAGGTACCGTCGAAGGACCATGGGTTGTAGAGAAGGAACGTAGGTTCTAGGAAAGCTGCTTTTTGAAATAGACAATTATTTCCAAAAATTTATTTTGAAATCAGAGTGTGGGTTTTAACTTTTGCTCAGTTTGCCCAGGTTTAAAGTTAATAATAATCAGGTTTTCTCTCTTTCGTTTGGGTTTATGTGTCTTATCAGGACATAGATGGCACTTGTATATGAGATTTGTGTGTTTCTCTTCAACTTGGACCAGAAACTATCTTAAAAGCTCAGAAATTAGTTTTATATATGATGTGTTTTGTATGTGTGGCATTTTAAAGCTGGAGCACGTAGAAGATACTTACATATACAGTATGCATATTACAGACTGAGAATTGTTTTTTCTTTGGGAAAAACATTCTTGTTTATGAGAATTGAATTCACAGTGAACAAACATACTTTTTTTTTTTTTTTTTTGGTAATTCGGAAGTTTAGTTCTGCAAATTGAACTTTCCTGAGCCTAGCAATTCTGTTCCTGCAACATCATTGGGGTTTGTGTAATTCATTGCTTAATCTTTCAGAATTTTTTTTCATCTATTGAGAATTAATTTACATATCTTTGTGAGTCACTAGAAAATAGTAATTGTGTAGCTCGAGTACCTATGAGCGTTAAAATGCTAATGAATATTTCGTTTTTTTTCCTCTGAAAGGGTGCGACTGATTATTCTCATGTTGCATAGAATGACTTAAAAATCCCGTGTGTGACCTACAGATATTTTCCCAAGTTGCGTATGCTTTTATGATCTCTAGTTAATTGGGGCAGCCACAGTTGGCAGAATCCATAACAGATTGCATCTCCCTCCCACTCCCTGTCTCCCACACTTGTCAGAGACCTTCTTTGCCTGAAAGACAGGTCATCTTATTTTAGGGGGTCAATATGTAAATCTACCACATCTATCTTTACTTGAAAGTTGTGTTTTCACTCATACGGAGCTCATTAGGAATGTACATATTTAACTTGGTTTTGGATATTTACAGTTCAGAGGAAGAGATTTGCTGAGGTTGTGGTTTTGTTAGTAAATTGGCTATTTTCCAGATCCTGTTGGCGATAAGCTTTCCATTTCCTGTTGTGAGATGTTGGTCATAACTTTCAGACCGCTCAGGAAGCCAGATTTGATCTCTGTGGTGGGTCAGATATCAAAGCAGTGTCCTGTGGGGTTTGGCCACATCACTGTTTTGTGGAACTTTAAGCTGACTTTGTAGTCAAACTTGTCAGCATGGATCAAAATTGAAAAATACAGTTTAATAAGTATTAATCATTGTTGAGTGAATTCTATGGCTCAGGATTTTTTCTCAGTTGTTTTTGAGGGTAACCTCAATTCTCACACCAATCCCATAAAAACAAGTACTTTTAGTATACCGTTGTATGGATGTGGAAACTGAGGCATGAAGGAATTATTTAACTTGCCCAAGGTTTCAGTAAATGACAGAACTGATAGCAGAGCTTGACGGTAAGAACGCTTCCTCTCAATCGCTGTGCTGTATTGCAAGTAAGACTAGGCAAAACGCTAGACCCAGTATAGGGTGAGAGATAGAGCACCATAGGTTCATTTATTTTTCAATTATAAAAATAATGTGAAATTGCAGGAGCTAGAAAATTGTGTTAAAAAAATCTTCATCCAGTACTATTCTAAGAAACTTTCCTTATGCACATTCATCTGTGTCCATAACCATTGTAGCTATGATTCATTTTGAGTCTTAAGTGTCTTTCAGTTAAGAAGGAAATGGAGGATGAGTCCATGTGGGGAAACTGTCCATTTGCATTGCTGAAATACAAAGATGTTGCATGATATGCAATATGATCTGCAATTCTGATGGGAACCAAGTTAAATGAATGTATTTCTTGCATTGAATGGAAAGTAGTTGAACAGGTTCTGCTTTTTAAATCATGAAAATTACTTAATATTCAATGTGTCAGTCTTTCACAGCATTGTTTTGTTGGGTTATTGTTTACCTTCCTTCCCTTTTATACTCTGAATTGTCAGTGAATGTATTTGTGTTTGTGTGAGTTTCCTTAATCATCCAGGATTTACCTTTTAAATGGCTTTAACAATTTTTCTGAGTTTAGGAAATTTTCTTCTTTCTGGAGAGCTACTTCTTTTAGCTGGTTATCCACTTAAACTTTTTTTTTTAAGAAAAAATATATAAGGCACTGCAATTTGGATCTGTAGCTAACTTATTGAACACTAAGGATAAAATCTCAAATAATGTTACTTTTAGAGAAAATTAGTTTCATCATTATGGTATCTTGTATATTGACAATTTGAATCAGCGTAAATTTCTTTCTTACTACCTTTGATGCCAGACCTAAGTTTCTTGATGTTCTGTGTGGTGAGTGAATGGGAGTCATCTCTTGGTAGAATAAATTTGAGAAGCCGTTCATAACTTTTGCTTATGTTGTTAATGTTTACTACTAGTTTTGTCTAGAACCTTTCATATGCTGTTATCCATTACAGTTGTAGATGAGAGTGTGTTTTATAACCTAAACTTACTTGACCAGGAAACCTTTTCGTCGTCTGTGCACATACTCACATCCAAATGTTTTTGTTGCTGGGCCTCCCCGGTGGCGCAGCGGTTGAGCACTGGGTTGAGAAGCTGCCCGCAGCCTCTGCAGCACTGGTTCGATCCCCATCAACCGGGTGAAGGTCCCACATGGCGCGCAGACCTCTCCCTCCACCCGCTGCTCCCCTCAGCTGTGTACTTCATCAGTTTGCCTGCTCTGCTCTCCCCTCTGGCTCTGGGAAATTCTCTTACCCTCCCGCAATTGCGCTTCTGACTATACCCAGTGCTTGTATAAATAAAAAAACAAAGAAAAAAGAAACAAATGTTTTTGTTGCTTTCTGAACTCCATAACTTGATTTATGCTGGTACATTTGTTTCAAATAATCATTTTTCCCTTCTCTGCCCTGTAAAATTCTCTATAGCTTTTTAAACGTCCAACTCAAGTGTGTTTCTTTTAAAGAAGGTTTATCAGTTACACAGGATGTGATCTTTTCTTTGAATTATAATTCTTGTGTATTCTGTGACATTTGTCAGGCACTACCTTTTATAAAGTAAGTTTATAGGAAAATTTTACAATATCCTCTTTGAGGACAGTATATAATTTAATTTATGCTGAAGTTTGGTGGAAGCTATAGTGTCTGTAAAAACATGATGTCATCAGTAAAATTGTGTTTATGTTTTTTACAATTTCTAGTACCTTAGTAGTAATTCTATAAGCATTATAAATGAATAGTGACTATGTTGGAATTCATTGTCACATTTTTTATTTTTGAGCAATACTTAGCACATACAGTTCTTAAAATATGAAAATGTGCCTTGCATAGGAATGTTAGATGAGTCAGAGCTTCATCTCCCTGCCATCGTTGCTTTTGAAACTTTTGTCTGTCTAATTGCTAAAATTTAGAATTTTCATTTCTTCTTTGACTTAAAAAGAAATGTGCCCACTTTTCTGTTTATCATACCATCCAGATAGCTGACCTACACACTTTGAGTTAGCCATGGTCCTCAGCCTTAACCAGGCTTCTTTTTGAGAGAGGAAAATTTTGTTGGGAGCTACATCAGGCAATGGGTCTTTTGGCTACCCATTTCCAGGGCCTCCCTATTTCTGCACCCTCTGTCCCCCTTCTGGTGATGTGTTGCTTAGTGTTTTCCGTTTCATTGCTAGATTACTGAAGCAATCGTTCCCTCCATTGTAGTCTGCCTTTGAATAGGGCTAAAACCTGGACGTGTGATCCTACTGTTGAAAAGAACACTCTACTCTTGAGCCCTATAAACTCTGGGATACTGAGCTTTGTTTTTTCCAATAGTTTTGTATCAATAGTGCAGTCAGAAACTTAGCTGATGTCTTAGATTTCTACTACATTTCCACTTTTTATTTTTAAAATATTTATTTTATTTATGTATACAAGAGCTGGGATGTGGGCCAGAGGTGCAGGGGGTAAGAGGATTCACCAGGGACAGAGTGGGGAGCAGAACAGGTGGATCTACTGAAATACACTGAGGGGAGCAGTGGGCAGGTCTGCTGCACCATGTTGGTTTGCTCCCTGGCCAGGGATCGAACTCCTGCCGCAGGGGCTGGCGATAGCTTGATAATGCTGAGACTTTAACCCCTGCGCCACCAAGGAGGCCCCATTTCCACATTTTATTAGTTACTAAGTCCTCTTAGATATTTCCTTATAGCTATGTCAATTATGCCCTGACTATCTCATATTTACAGTTGTTCAAAGGTCTACTTGAATAAGGTCACCAAACTCCTCTCCTTGTCTTTAGACTCTCAGTTTCTTGCTTGTCTCATCTATCTTCAACACTGCTGCTAGTGTTGGCCTGCTGACATTCATATCTGATCATGTGGTTTCTCTTTTAAATCTCTTAATAGTTTATTATATCCACATGAGATGTGTATAAATGAGTATGTAAGTTCCGTAGCATTACTTGTGAATCCTTCCCTTCTTGGTCTGGCCTCATCCATCCCTCTAGTTATTCTCTAGTCCCCTACTCTTAAGTTACCCAAGCGGGTTTTGATATTTAGCTTTTGTGTTTTTGTATGTGCTTTTTCCTTATCTGATTGACTTTTCACCTCATAGTCTAGTTCACACATCCTAATCCTCTGCTTACACATTTGCTAAGTGTTCACACGCTTTCCCAGGCAGTATGCTTATTCTTTTTTATTGTTACTAATACCTTATATTGCCTCTCCTATGGCACTGACCATACCAGACTGTTGTAATTTGTATGTCTTTTTGTAAAGGGGACAATTCAGTTTTTCTTTTCTTTGAAAGGGAAAACCCAGTTCTTCTCTACTCATT